GCTTTTCAAAAATCCTGATGTTTGCCAACCATGATGTTTTTGATATTTTTGCTGGTTGTGTTAGTGATGATTTGGTATATTTTTAACATGGTGAAATGGCATGCGACTACCAACCCAACATGCCCACTGTGCAGACCTAAGCATAACAGCTGGCTACCTGTCAAGGGTGTTGCACAAAGCATGAAATCTCTCCAGAATGGTTGGCTACCTGTCAAGAGTGTTGCACAAAGCATGAACTCTCTCCAGAATGGTTGGCTACCTGTCAAGAGTGTTGCACAAAGCATGAACTATCTCTCCAGAACCGCTGGCTACCTGTCAAGAGTGTTGCACAAAGCATGAACTCTCTCTCCAGAATGGCTGGCTACCTGTCAAGGGTGTTGCACAAAGCATGAATTCTCTCTCCAGAACGGCTGTCTACCTGTCAAGTGTGTTGCACAAAGCATAAACTCTCTCCAGAATGACTGGCTACCTGTCAAGAGTGTTGCACAAAGCATGAACTCTCTCCAGAATGACTGGCTACCTGTCAAGAGTGTTGCACAAAGCATGAACTCTCTCCAGAATGGTTGGCTACCTGTCAAGAGTGTTGCACAACGCATGAACTCTCTCTCCAGAACGGCTGGCTACCTGTCAAGAGTGTTGCACAAAGCATGAACTCTCTCTCCAGAATGGCTGGCTACCTGTCAAGGGTGTTGCACAAAGCATGAATTCTCTCTCCAGAATGGCTGTCTACCTGTCAAGTGTGTTGCACAAAGCATGAACTCTCTCCAGAATGGCTGGCTACCTGTCAAGGGTGTTGCACAAAGCATGAACTATCTCTCCAGAATGGCTGGCTACCTGTCAAGGGTGTTGCACAAAGCATGAACTATCTCTCCAGAATGGCTGGCTACCTGACAAGAGTGTTGCACAAAGCATGAACTCTCTCTGCAGAATGGCTGGCTACCTGTCAAGAGTGTTGCACAAAGCATGAACTATCTCCAGAATGGTTGGCTACCTGTCAAGAGTGTTGCACAAAGCATGAACTATCTCCAGAATGGTTGGCTACCTGTCAAGGGTGTTGCACAAAGCATGAATTCTCTCTCCAGAACGGCTGTCTACCTGTCAAGTGTGTTGCACAAAGCATGAACTCTCTCCAGAATGGTTGGCTACCTGTCAAGGGTGTTGCACAAAGCATGAACTCTCTCCAGAATGGTTGGCTACCTGTCAAGGGTGTTGCACAAAGCATGAACTCTCTCCAGAACGGCTGTCTACCTGTCAAGTGTGTTGCACAAAGCATGAACTCTCTCCAGAATGGCTGGCTACCTGTCAAGGGTGTTGCACAAAGCATGAACTATCTCTCCAGAATGGCTGGCTACCTGTCAAGGGTGTTGCACAAAGCATGAACTATCTCTCCAGAATGGCTGGCTACCTGACAAGAGTGTTGCACAAAGCATGAACTCTCTCTGCAGAACAGCTGGCTACCTGTCAAGAGTGTTGCACAAAGCATGAACTCTTTCCGAGCACATATGGACTAAATAGTTCAATGTGCAATGATGACAATTTATCGACTAACTGATGACTAACTAACTAAAGTACACTTGTTTCTACAGTAAGAAGCTGTCACTATTTGGAGACAAAAAATGTCTACTGCAATGTGGCAACTAACTTGTGATTTTTTTGTTTCGTGTGACCATCTTTCTTCTCTACTGTTGTAGGTCTTTCCCAGGCTTTAGTATTTGTATCATAACACCTCTCTGTAAATCCGTGGCCTAGCACCTTTGGTATACAAATAAGTGAGACAGGAAAATTGGCAAGGATGCAAAGAAATCTCCTGTCAAATGATGATGATTATGAACAGAAAAACTGGCAGAAGTGAAATTAACACAAAAATGTAATGATTTTTATAAAGTTACTTAGAGCACAACAAAATATATTACAACAAATGCAATGTTTAGTTGAATAATTGCCTCCCCTGTTAATCAATACAAAAATATTATATGATTATTACTGCTTTTGTATTTGTTCACATATGTTAGCGTAGCTGTAGATCAGCTTTCCAGATAAGCTCATTTTTGTTTCTAGCTTGCACCCTTTGGGATTAACATCTGTAGAAATCACATCTCAAGGTTGGGAAACAAGCAGACATAAAACCCAGAAACCCTGTTCAACAGTTTGCCAACTAACTAGAAGAAGATGCATTGCAGCTATCATATCACTAAAATTATTCGTATTCAATTTTTGTGGAAAAAAATGTATTTTAAGTATGGGTATTAATCAATAAATACAAACAGAGCAAAGAACTAATTCCATTCACTCGGACCATGATAAAGATGGTTTTGTTGATTTAGCTTTAGAAAGCAAAGTAATGTCCTATGAGATTATTACCATATATGTGGTGTAAGCAATGCTTATTAAAACATTTTTTTTCATTTTAAAGTAAATGAATCACAAGATCAGGCACCACAGTGTGACGAGCCGTAAGCACCACTTCTGAAACGCAAGCAAGACATGATAGCTGCTGTCACTGAACTGCTTGCAGACAGCCAGACATTAAACTGCCCGCCAGCCAATACAACCGTTAACCAACTATGTAAGTGGTCCTGGCTCATCTTGACAGTCCCACAATCTTAATATTGTCTTCTTCTTCAGCATTCCAAGCTATTGAAGTTCATTGCTGCAGATATCACCCATCTCCACTCATCTCTTTGGTTGGCCTTCTCTTTCCAGTTGGTGACACCAAGTGTCTGCAGGTCTGTCTGGACATTATCTCTCAATCGTCTTCTTCGACCGCCTCATGGTCTACGACCATTCAGCTCCCTTGTGCATACAGTTTTTACCTCTCTGTCATCTGACATTCTCTCAATATGCCCCAGCCATTTCAGTCTATCAGCTCTCATGATACCAGTGATCAATGGTGATTTAAACAGATTACGAATTTCTTTGTTGCTTCTCACTCTCCATTCCTGTTAGCATCTTTGATGGGTCCAGAGAAAATGTGCAATAAGGCTTCACTCTTTTAGTTGTGCTCCAAGTTTCAAAGCCATTTAACACAACTGGTCTTATCAACGTTTTAAATATTTTGATCTTGGTGTTGCCAGATAGAGACTTTGACTTTAGCAGATGTTTGAAGGACATAATATTCTTTACTTCGAGTATTGTGCTGCTAGAAAATACACAGAAATCTAGTTGAAGCTGATAGGAAGGCATCAGTCAAGGTCTTTACACCGACTGTTTAGTCTTAGTAAAGTTACAGCATGCAACTTGAGCTGCCAGGCAAAATCATCTAATTATGTCTTAGGTGCCGATCCACAATCAAAATTCAGGAAAAACAACTATTTGTTAATGACCAAACTGTTAATTTAACAACATTCTATGTGAAACTGTAACTGGATCCATGGAGTACCTACCCAAATATGGCATGTGGATAAGTGTAAAAGTCAGTCATGTTCTTTTTTTTTTTTTAGCATTTACCAGCTGTAAACCAGTGGACAGTTCTGGTTGTTTACCCATTAATGGACTTTTTCTAGAACCTGAATTTTACATGTCTATCCATTTTACAGATCTGGCTTATTTGCATGCAGACTGTTGGTTACTTGCCTCTCAGACAAATGCACTCTGACTTCAAAGGAAAACCCCTAATTTCTCGAGTTTTACTAGATGTATTTTAGGCAGGCCTTGGGTCCCCCCCCCCCCCCCCCCCCCCCCCCCCCCCCAACAATTAGGAGCCTTGGAACCTACACAGTGAGTAAAAGTAAGTAACAGACCCGATTCATGGAATGGAGATATGTGCCAGCCCCTTATTTTGTGATGTTTAAAACCAGTCAGAACTCGATGTGTGAGGTGATCAACATAATGTGGTTACTTTTAATTTCAAGGCATTTCCTGATTCTTATTTTTAGGTTGACGAGAATGAAAACAAATGTTGATGAGAGAGCCTTAAGAGTGCTGGATTGGGTTCCATTCATGATATCAATAAAACTGCACACGATTGAATGAAATGGAGAAATTGACTATGAGCCCTATGGGAAATAAAATATTACAACACGATGATGATTATAATTTAACAATTTGTAGCAAACAACATATCATTTGTGACTGGATATTACACATATGCACCAATGAACATATTATGTACATTAGTATATCTTACACTTAGTCAGGACACACTATAGTTTTCAAACAAATCAGGTTTTTTACAAAGGACTGTGGATTCGGCCACTGCAGTATACTTCTTATTTTGCTGTCATCATTATTGCCTCAATCGGACCTAAGCTATGATCTTCTGGGAGTGAAAGAGTTAAGGCTGGGTAGACCTGGAAGCCCAGGTCTATCTGGTAATAACCACACCCTGAAAGGAATTCAAACACAAGACTATGGGGTCAACAGGCAATCATTTTAGTCACTGTGCCAGTGTGATGCCTTGATACACAGCTGTATGTTGAGAAAGGTAAAGACAGGTATGCTCCTTGCAGAATGACACCTATCGCTTCACAGGTCCCGGGTAGTTAGCATCCCCTGGATATTTTCAGGTGTAGTGGGAAAGGAATTGGTTCTGACTACTTGGTGGGGAATTATTGCATGACAAGCTTGATGCAAGGGTTCTTTGGGTGTGAGTGAACAGTGCGGAATCACACACAGATCATCAAGGTCGGAGGAGAATGATGCTGTGAGGAGTGACTAGGGGATCTGACCAATGCTCAACATTCAAGGAAAAGACGAGAGTGATACACGATCAAGACTGTTACTGGTGCCATCAGAACTGGAACTCTGCACTTGCTGCTGAATAATGTGATGGAAAGCCTATGGAAATTCCTGAGTGCTGTAACGTCGATTCTTAATTCAACATAGCAGTCATGAGCTAAGCAAGCAATCTTCTAGAATTTCAGGAAAAATCCCAGGCTAAACATTTCTCTCCTCCTCTTACAATGATCAGAAACTCACTGTTCAGCACAGCTGGTATTATTAACATTAAACTGTCTATTGTACAGGTGTCCATCAGTAAATATAAAGCATGTTACATTTTCTCAGTGCATGCGACAAGCTCTAATCATAAGGATCTGAGACAGAACAAAGAGTGGGGCAAACACTTCTGAACAGTTGAGGCTTCCTGTCACTAGTTTCTGGCAAAGCAGCAGCTTGAAGGTGAAGATCATGGCAATGACAACCAATGAGCTTGCGACACGCAGACTGGCCTGAAGAGAAAGACAAACATTTAATGTACTGACACTGTATTTTAAAAACTATAGATAAATGCTCATCCGTTTGTGAACATCAGCATTTTTTTTTTTTTTACAGATAGCACCTGAGTTGATAATCTGCGTTTTTCTCCCTCTTCTGCTTTTTATCCCTACTGGAGTTTCCTTTGGATATTTTCTTCAGTGTATGCCAGTGTGCTGGAAAATGTACAGGTAGACAGACTGGCTGGTTTTGTACCACTTGGTGGTGAACTGATACATGGCAAGCTAGATGTTGTAAGGACCTTTTGGGAGCCAGTAAACAGTGTAGAGGTACATACAGATCATCACATTCTGAAAAGAATGGTGCTGCAAGGAGTGACCAGCTGTTCCGGCTGATGCTCAACACGCCCGGGGAGGGGTGAGATGGATAAGCCATCAGACTGTTACAGGTACCATTGAAATTGGAACTCTGCACTTGCTGCTGAAGATGGGGACAGACCACTTATGGGAATGTTCCAAGTACTATGTTGTAAGCTTTTTACTCACAATCATGCCAGCGCCCTTTACTTCCTAAGGATTTAGCTCGTACTTATTTAAAACTGGGTTGACTTTTTAGCCAAGGTCATTTTAAATGTGAGAATATAATTTAAAAAAAAAAAAAAGATGCCAGTAACTGAACAAGTAGTAATGTAAAACTAAAACAACAAAAAAAAAATTAAAATAATAGTATGAGAACTCACACTCAATTAAATAAATGCACATTTAATCTGAACATCAAGGAAGATTGGCTAATAAACAGCATCCTGTCTCGGAAGTTGCAATATTTTGGTCATATCAAGCGCCACGACGGATTGGAAAAATAATAGCAGAAGGCATGGTACTAGGAAGGAGGGACAAGGGACAACCTATACGAAGATGGGCACAGGATATAAGTGACTACTTGAGTATGAAAGTACATGAGGCGGAAGAGCTGGTGAGAGACCGAGTTTCTTTCAGGCAGACTGTGATGAGAGCGACATTCTGCAAAGGTCCTGCTACATGATGATGATGACAATTAAGGAGTAAAAGAAATCACTAGAACACTTCTTGGCTTATTGAACTTACGTGAAAACATGTAATACAGAAGGCAAGATGAGTTTTCATAGCACCAGGAAATTTGTGGAAGTTGAAGGAAATTAAAATTAATACTAAAATTCAAAGGTGTAATTCTAATGTCAAATCAATACTGCCATATGGAGCCAAGAACAACTAAAACAATTATGAATAAACTACAAGCATTCATTAAGTGGTGCCTGCGCAGAATAAATGGAGTTAAATGGTGTGATAGAATCACTAATGTTAAGCTTTGGGATTGAACTAAATTCCAGTTATTTAAGATTTAAAAAAAAAAAGACACTGGCCTTGGAAAAGACACACACAGGAGATATAACAATAAAACTAAAATGTCTCTGCACTGGAACCCACAATGGCACAATAATAAGGGCCCAAAAAACACACAGAGAAGGAAGCTAGACAGTAAAGTTAATAAAAAGATAGGGAGGACATTGGGTGCACTGCATGCAAAGCAAAGATACCTATATAACAATTTGGTGTCAGTTGTTTAAGGGGTTATGCTCCGCTCCACTTGTGCACAAAGCGCAGAAGAAAACAACATATACAAGTGGTATTCTTGCAACTATGCCTAAATACTGATTACAAAAATAAGACTTTTCTGTATCACAAAATACCAGTTGTACAAACCTGTTTTAAGTCATATTCTCTATACTGTCGAACAAACACAATAAGGCACAGGTAGGCATTGAGACCATCACATATGAACAGAGGTGTGAAGATGGTGGGCCACGGTGCAGTGAGATGTCCTTCAATTTTTGTGGCAACCAGAACAGAAAATACTAGAATGGACAAAAGCTGCAAAAATAGTTCAAATGCTGTCATCCGGGTCCACTGGATAACCTCCTTAAGCTTCAGCAGCATGGCTCTTTAAAACAAGATGTTTCTTTTGGCACCAGAGTGGAGGAAAATCTGGCAGGAAAAAAATTGAAACAAAATATCATTAGCTTTTAGAGGACAAGGTTTTTGGTGCTAGAATGTTCTTTCTGAATTTAAATTCGCTGTTGATGAGTTATAATTATTGTATGGCGTTTATACAACAACAAAAAAGACATAATAGTCTTCATAACGGCCACCACTGCCTGCTGGTTTTGAAGGTCTTGGGTTCAAATCTGCTTCAAGGTGGACTTTTTAGTAACTGACCAGGGCTCCCAGGTTGACCCAGGCAAAAACGGGCACGAGGAAATATCATGGCACAGTGTTAACTTTTTTTAAGGGGGGGGGGGGGGGGGGGGACAGAAGATCACAGATTGTTACATCTGTCTCTGGCTCAAGCAGACTTTGTTCTTCACACAATGTTAGCCCTTTCACCCTTAAAGAAATGCTTGCATTAAAAAAAAAAAAAGGTTCATGACCCATGGGAATTCATGAAAAAAATCATTGAAAAAACCAACACATTCTAAAAAGGTCACTTATAAACTTAAAAATTTGTTAATTTATTTATGTGTATATTTTTTTTAAATTATTTAAATATATATAAAAAAAAGGGAGTAATCAAAACAATAACACTGGAAGCATTAAATTGAATCACTTTCCTAAGGTCTAAAAAATATGTATTGGGTGACTCAGGGCGGTTAACTCATGATCTATCAGTCTAACAGCAAAATGGCCAAAAAGACAGCTGGGCCGATCCAATGGCCAGATAATACAAGCCTTGAGATTGGCTGGCGGGGTTGTCATACCAGCCAATCTTAAGCTTCTTCCATATGTGAGCTGTTTAATGATGGCATTCATGAAAGTTTGTTGTGTTCTGTAAATTTATATTAATTTTGTGTGTGTGGGTGTCAACTGAGCCCAATAATGGTAAAAAGGACTGTTGCGTCATAACAACCAAAACAGTAGAACCATGTGCCAGGCATGTCTGAAGGGGCTACAAAGGCCTTGATTTCCAAAACACAAGTATTAGGACTTAATCAGGCTTCATTCATCAGAAAATGTAGAAATTGTTTCATTTAGTTATGTTTGTCCTAAGTAATTTAAAAGAAAAAAAAATTGCATGCATAAACATGCAAATTTAGTAGCTAATTTAATAAATTTTGAGGTGTCTGTGTTATTCATAAAGATTGTGTTAGTTCATTGAATTTCCAATAAGAATATATAAAGTTTTGTATATGTTAATTAATTGCTTTATTTTTTTTTATAATTTTGTGTATGTAAAATGAGAGAATCTCCCCCAAAGCTCCGTTTTTTTGGCATTGAAACTAAAAATAAAGCTCCGTCTCCAAAGGGTTAACACTTTTTGCGGTGTAGGGGGGGAGGAGAGGGGTATGAGCCTGAGGATTTAGAACCGCATGGCTAATGCTGTCGCCACAGACTTTGCGGGTTATGATTGTATATTTTCCCCACGACAGAAACAAATTCCTAACTTTATCAAGCGTTCAAACATGGGTCTCCTGCCTGAGAGCTCAGTGTTCTAACCGTTTCGGCAGCCACTCATATTTACAATAATAGTTATTAACTCTTTGAGTCCCAAGGAACGCATGATACGTTCATAGGTTTCTACCTAGAAGCCCAGAGAAGGCAACATGTGCCGATTTTACATCTCTCTTGACTACTTCTTGGGCTTCTGATGCTTAACGCCCTGGGAGTCAAAGAAGTAATATTAAATACTGGTGCAAAAATTTTTCACAAAATACTCTTTTATTCTGCAATTTGTAAGTACTATCTAATACACATTCTGCATACATTTTGAAGAAAAAGTGCAATTTTATGACAAATCAAAAAATAATAATAATGATAAAACATGTCTGCCAAATTATAAAAGAAATTTTAAAATTTCGTGAATGATTCAAATGATCAATTCGTGTAAGTTCCGTGGTCACACTGGGTGGGGGTTGAACCCATTGTTGGAATGCGCCTGAGAGGCGAGGAACCAATAATAACAGTCAGGAGTCTGCATACAAATAAGCCAGATCCGTAAAATAGATCTGTAAGCAACAACAAAAAAGTTCTGGAATAAGCCTTAAGTCCAGAAGTGGACAAAAAATAACAGAGCCTTCCATCGCAGTTTACAGCTGGTGAACGCTAAGATTACTATGAAGAAAGGGGGGGGGGGGGGGGGGGAATAATCAAATCAATGACAATGATTAATTTTGCTGGCTCTCCTAGCACATTTGGACGCAAGCGGGACGGCTTCGGTCGGCTTAGTGGGAGTTCTCTCCCTTGGCCGCACTCAAAACAAGTAGCGGAAAAAGTCACGAATCAAACAAGACAGTGAGGTCGACATCAGGGCTGCCAATGCTTGGTTGTGTCCCCCAGATCTGGGTTTTTCTTTTGACGCTGCGGGGAAGTCTGATGTTTTTTTTTTTTTGGTGTTTTGCCGATCTGTATGCTTTAATGACTGATAATTTTGCGTGGTTAGGGGTAGGGTTAGCGGTAGGATTGGGGTTGGGGTTAGGGGTAGCGTTAGGGTTAGGGGTAGCGTTAGGGTTAGGGGTAAGGTTAGGGGTAGGGTTAGGTTTAGCGTTAGATGTGACAATTTTGACGCAGTAGTTCCCTATAATCGCGCACGGTCACATACACACCCAAACAGTCGACAGACGGACAATTCGCCACCGATTGGGCACCAGTCGCGCGCTTTTGCCGTCATATTTGGCACACTTCCAGTGGTGCCACTCCCACAAGCATCAGATTGTCGCCCAGTATTTGGAAGTTCTATGTCACAATTTTCACATCTAACCCTAACCTTAACCCCAACCTACACCCTACGCAATGCTACACGCAACCTTATGATGATCATAGACACCCTACGCAGCCCTACACGCAACCGTATGATGATACGTAACCCTAGACGCAACCGTATGATGACTACGCAACCCTACACGCACCCGGATGTTGATAGGTATGTCATTTGATTCGTGACTTTTCCGCTCGTTGTTTTGAGTGCGGCCAAGGGAGAGAACTCCCACTAAGCCGACCGAAGCCGTCCCGCTTGCGTCCAAATGTGCTAGGAGAGCAATTTTGCTTTTCCACTGACAGACTGTAGTCACTCTTCTTTTATCTAATAATATGCGGTTTTGTCACATCAAATGCATATGAAGCATATCTTACTTTATCATGTGAACAAATTCTTTGTTGTCCCAGTTTCATAATTAATTTATTAATAATAATATTATTAATAACAAAATTTATCCGGTAGTTTTTTTTCTTTCAAGCATCTTCTGTTCCACATGAAGTAAACATGAGAGATAACCCGGAAGTGAAAACTGGAGTTGCCAGCTGAGAGCTTTTGTGGCTAGTTCGGCTTATTAAAAGGTTGCTACATTTCAATTTATCTGGGCACATGGATAACATCAGATAGAAGATGCATAACTGAGATAAGAAACAGAACAGGACAAGCAAAAACTGCATTTTATAAAATAAAAAACATCGTGTGCAATATATCCTTGTCATTAAGAGTAAGGAAAAGAATTCTCGCTTGCTACATACATCCAGTTTTGACATATGGTTGTGAATCCTGGTAGGCAGGCCAAACAATTTCTGGAGGCCTCTGAGATGTGGTTTTACAGAAGAATGCTTAGAATACCTTGGACAGCCAAAAAGAGCAACCAAGAGATTTTGAAAAGAGGCGAGAGCCCGAAGATAACTTATCACAGACATCAGAAGGAGACAGTCATAATTTTTCGGCCATGTTATGAGAAGAGGGAAAATAGAACATGTTGTGACCACTGGAAAGATCTGTGGAAGGAGAGATAGAGGAAGACAACGAGAGAAGATGCTTGACAGTCTTGTTGCATGGCATGGAGGTATATCGGCACACGAACTGATACATGCTGCAGAAGATCGCAGATTATGGAGAGGCATGATCGCCCACGCCAGTCGGCAAGGCACCTGATGATGATGACATTTCAACTGGCTTTCGTCGAGGGTCCTAATATAATCTAATGGTTGAACTGAGGTTTTGGATCTTGCGCCTGGGGGATTCTCATCCGAATTGCAGCACTTGTATCACCGGGTGTTAATAGCTCATTTTGCGGTCCTGGTGGTGTTGAACATCACTCATTCAGTCAGTCAGGAGTTGTCTCCATAATGAAATCAAATTGTAGTAGTTCACTATAAACAGGTCGCCCCATAGTTTCTCCGTTCCTGTGCCAAGGGAAAGGTAGGTAAGTAGTTGTACCCCACCAGGAAGGACATCACACAAGCGATAAACACCCAGTGACACAAAGTGCCACCATGTGGATGAGGATCACCCGTGGACAGGTCCCAGAAATATCTTTCAACCGTTAGGCCATATCTATGGCTAAGCCATATCTATGCCCAGGCTATATTCAGGGCCCCCGGCAGAAGCCAGGGTGGAGCTTCAAATAACGAAAAAAATGGCATCCCACATGGGAACGACTTTTATAGCCAAGGGAACGGAATGACTGACTTTCTACCCCACCAGGACATCACACAAGCGATAAACACCCGACGACACAAAGTGCCACCATGTGGATGAGGATCACCCGTGGACAGGTCCCAGAAATATCTTTCAACCGTTAGGCCATATCTATGGCTAAGCCATATCTATGCCCAGGCTATATTCAGGGCCCCCGGCAGAAGCCAGGGTGGAGCTTCAAATAACGAAAAAAATGGCATCCCACATGGGAACGACTTTTATAGCCAAGGGAAAGGAATGACTGACTTTCTACCCCACCAGGACATCACACAAGCGATAAACACCCGACGACACAATGTGCCACCATGTGGATCATCGTGGAGAGGTCCCAGAAGCCGCGTTCAGACAATTGGCCATATTTATGGCCTGCCTATATTGCGGCCCCTGGCAAAAGCCAGATTGGTTCTTAAAATAACGAAAAATTTCGTCCTAAAAACGGTAAAGGTATGATATGATAGCCAAGGTAAAGAATCCGACATTTAATCGCTCACGGTCCCATTTGAAAAAAAAGTTTAAAAAACAAAACAAAATTAGCATAAGGCAGCTGCTAGAGATGCCAACACTAACAGTCGCCATCAGAATTGCAGTTTATTGTTCTTGGAAGTAAATTGTCAGTTACTATGAGATGGCCATACACACGAAAATTTATTTCGTAATGTAACTATTTTGCCAACCTAAAGCAAACCGTCTATCTGTCATTTTCCGACAAACACCGATGCGGGCACAAACGTAAAGCACTGCATACGAAATACACAGCTCACAGTGCTGCATCAAACACTTAACTCAGCAGTTTAGGCAGCGAAACCGTAAACTCTCGTCTATTGACAGAAAATGCAGAAGCAAAAACATTGCTATAAGCAAAAGTAATTTTAAAGCTAAATGGACTGTCCTGTCTATCTGCCATACTGGACAAGCATCTCCATAATAAAGGTTAGCCTCGATGGATCCCCATCATGCTATCAGACTGCTGTTCGCCCATCTCTTGCTTTTATCCTCCCATTTGTATAGCTATCTTAACTTTTTCGTTTACTTAGAACTTTCCCCTCCAATATAAGTTTTAAGGTGCAGGCTGCTTACAAATAAACCAGATCTATAACACGCAAACTCAAGTTCTGGATCGAGACCAAAGTTCAGGAGTGGACGAAAAACCAAAATCCCCCCCCTGAGTTTGCAACCGGTGAACGCTAAGAAGAAGAAAATGGGGATAATGATGACGATGATGATATAATTTTAATGTACAGCTTTGTGGAGGCTAGCTAAATCGTTCTACAATGCAATCCTAGATGTTTTGTTTTAGTATCCAGAAGCCATGAGTTGTTAACCATTAGGCTCGGTATTATGGATATCGCAACCTTTCGGCCTTGATTCCATTGTAAATACCGTAAATCTGGGAGAAATGTGGCTTTTCTGCCTACCCCTGGGAATGAACCCGGACCACAAGGAGTTCGTCACCCGCTCACCGCGCAATCCGGTTTAGCCAACTACGCTAGAGAGCCGGGCAATCCTAGATGTTAACCAGGGTTGGATTCACACGGTGTAAACAAGTAAAGGATACTTTTCCACGCCTTCTGGAGTACTAGGCATATAGGGCTAGACCTATAGGAATAAACTCACAGGGAGCAAGTACAGCGGGAATCTACTAGTCATCAGTAGAAATTATCCTCGTCGACACACGTTTCGGCCCACGATTCCTAGACGTATTCGGAGGTGGGCCCTCCTGAGTTCATGACGCTCAGGGCTGGTTCCCCGCTGCACGGAATTACCGGATGATGTTATACTTTCGGCCAGAGACAAGACGACTTGGTGGTTTCGAAGGAGGTACTGTGAGATAAGAAGCCGCCACGGCAGCTTAATTAGAACAGTCAGCGTGCCTGGACGACCGAGCGACAAGCTTACTTTGGTTTACCGGACACATGTTGGACTTTTATTAGCAGTTGGCAGAGGAACACTGGCAGACAATTCGGACACGATGGACTTTCAAAGGGATGAGAGACTCTTTTCCACTAGATACCGGACCAGCTCACCGAGGCCCGTCCCCTACGTTGTTGCGCTGCGTCCAAAGCCAGCTAGAGGCCCTTTCGGCCACCTCTCCCAGTTTTTTGAGTGTTCGTTTCCGTTCATTACCGCGCAATCCTAGTTCTTTCACCACATTGTAGAGCGAAGTGGAAACGAGGCCTCTCGCTCCCACTTCGACGGCAAATACCCGTACCGTGTAAGCCTCGTTTCTCCTCAAACCGGCTGCTAAATCACTGTACTTCTCGAGCTTGTACAAATGATTCTCCTCCATACGCGACTCAAACGGAACCGTCAACTCAATCAGGATGAGCTGCCGTTTTTGTGCAGAATGGAGAACGATGTCCGGTCGCAGGCCGGTTTTACGGATCAACTCGGGGTACCGTTCATGTCCTGGCAGATCAACCGCCAGTAACCAGTCCCTCGCAGAGTCTAGCACAGATGGAGCGAATGCGTTTTGGTTGACCTTACCTTTTGGAACCTGCCCAGCCTTGAGGAAACGAATGGGGACGATACTAGAACTGGCTCTGGCATTAGCCCTCATTCTAGCCTGGTCGACAACGGCTGCTAACTCCTTTAGCACCTTGTTGTGATTGTGACCGGTACCATTAGTATTGGAACTCTGCTCTGGCTGCTGAAGATGAGGACGGGGCACGCATAGGAATGCCCCGAGTTCTGTGATGTCAATTCTTGACTCAATTCAACTACTGGAAGCCGATTATTAGCTTCTTTGCAACTTTTTTTTTCTTTTTTTAGTGTGAAAGGGGTGGAAAAGGGGGTGGGGGTGCTAAAGGGACCTATATCACCAGGTTCTCACACTTATGATTTAGTTATACTTAACGAGATATTGTTGCGACATTTTCACCATATTATCAGCAAACCATCATCATCCATTTTTACCGTCAAGTTGCAACATCTCCAGCTATTAATGGACAAGAACTGATAGTCACATGACATGGAAAATGGTGGCTAAGTGGGAGGAATATAAACAAATAATTGGCCTCACTCAAGAGTTATTGTTATAGTACCCGAATCAAGATGCGAGATTGGGTTTTAAGCACTTTGCGATCGTGGAGAAGATGGATTCGTTTTGTGGTGGTGATAGTTTACATAATCCTTCTTGTGATCGCCGTTCCGCTGTGTATCTGGGAGCTGGAACGGACAGGGGCGCCCGATCACGTACAGGCCTGGTTTGTTGGTGGGTTGTTTGTTCTCATGGCTCTACCGATTTCTGTTTGGGGAATTGTGCAGCACATCGTTAACTACACGACCCCACACATGCAGCGGTATATTATTAGGTAAATATGCATACTTGTTCCTTATCTCGTTTTCCTCTTGTGGTCTTAGTAATTTATTGACAAACCTGGGTTAGAACCGACATAGGCTACTTTCTGGCTCTCTTCCGAACTTCTGCCCCGTCATTATGGCGGCCAAACAAATATCCTAACAGGGCCTCAGTCCTATGAAAAATGCGGACTTCTCGGACTTCCTGCCTAGCGGCAAAACTAGGATCGGCTCCGTATAACGAAACAAATGCTCTAAGAGGTTCTCAGCAATATTTTAATTGCGGACCTGTTTCTGTGGACTATGCCTCACCGCCGACCGGAGGGCTAAACTAGATGGCTGGGACTCACAAGCAGCAGCTACTGCATCTCGTGCAACTTCCTCCAATTTATTTGCTCGTGAGTCCCAGGCATCTAGTTTAGCCCCCCATCCGTGCCGCTATGCGCGGCGCGGAGGATACTGTCGGCGGTGAGTGTAACCGCGTTTTGCGCATGCTGAAAAGTTTAAGGACAACAACGACGCTTATCTGTGTCGGAGCGCGTGGTCTCCCCGCCATGTCGCTTTTATCGCCTGTAATGTTGTGTGTCTCAAAATTGTCAATGGTCGCTAGTATCGTCTGCTAGTATCGTTTTCAGTGTTGGGTCTCTTGAAATTGTCAGGTAATTCTAGTTTTGCAGCGATTTGTTCGTCACCGGAAGTCCGCATATTTTTAATAGGACTGAGGCCCTGGATATTTGTTTGGCCGCCATAATGTCGGGGTAGAAGTTCAGAGGAGAGCCTACTTTCTTGTAGTTAGTAAATATATGTAGTCTGTAATTTAAAACAATATATATATATATATATAGAAGGATAGCACTAGCACCCTATGTTAGATACACTGCAAGACGTGGTAACATGTATTTGTTCCAGGTAAACGGGTAAACAATCAGGTGCTGTCTCCACAATGAAGTTTGGCCGCAATTAATCTCCAGCACATTCTGCCTCTTGTCTTAGTTGTACACTCTCTCAGACTGCTGGTTGTCCATCTCTTGATATTGTCTTCCAACTTGTATCGTTGTCAACCTCTTCCTTTCTCTCTTGCCATCGATCTTTCCATCCAGTTCTTTACGTTCTTTATTTACGTTTTCATTTGTAAAGAATTTCCAGCACTTATTGGATGATGTTCTGATTTTGCATTAGCCAAAAATTGTAATTATAAGTCATCAAATTAAGCAAATGTAGAACTTTGGGAGAGAACTAAACAGGCTCCAGTGGATCAGGAAGTGAGAAAAAGACGCTGGCGTTGGATAGGGCACAACCTGAGAAAACAGGAGAACAGCATTACTAGAATGTCTTTGCATTGGAACCCACAGGGGCATAGGAATAAAGGAAGGCCAAAAAACACATGGATAAGAGAGCTGGAGAACGAGGTTAGAAAGATTGGGAGGACATGGGGAGAGCTCCATGCAATGGCGAAGGATAGAATGACTTGGCGTGAGTTGGTTGAGGGCCTATGCTCCATTGGGGGATAAAAAGGCAGAAGAAGAAGAAGAAATTGAGCAAATAAACTACTATCTACTTTTTTCTTCTTGTTTGTAGTTAGCTGTCAGGTGGCCTGCGAAACAGTTTTTCCTGTTTTTCTGGTACACAGGTGTAATAACGGTTGAAGAACACTGGTTTAGTGTGTTCTGTTTCTTCTGTGAGGAGCAATCAATACATGTTAATTTGTTTACCATTGTGTTTCTATAGAAAAGTGTTACCTTTCGAATAACAGTCTCAAATTATCAAGGCTGAAAAGATACCCTCAGGGCCTTAGTCACATGTCAATTTTGGACTTCCTGCGACTTACATTGCACACTTTCGGCGACTACTGCCACCGCCAAGAGTATTTCCTACGCCGCTACGTGCGGCGTGGATTGGGGCTAAACTAAATGGCTGGGACTCACGAGCACCAGCTACCACATCTCCTGCAGCTTCCTTTATTTTATTTTCTCGTAAGTCCCAGCCATCTAGTTTAGCCCCTCGTGTAGCGGCATGGGAGATACTCTTGGCGGTGGCGGAAGTTCACAAGACAGGAGATGCTATAACCAACTCCTCATGGCAACAATCGGTATTGGTACCTTAAGAGTGGCTTCTGCATTGGAGGACTGAGCACACATGGAGATGCCCAATGTGCAAAGATGTTGATTGTGATAACATAACATAACAGAGCAAACTGCATGATTTTTGTTTTTGTCTACAGAATTCTGTGGATGGTGCCAATCTATGCGTTAAATGCTGTGAGTAGAAAATGACAATTTCTTAGAATAACATATAGAACAGTACAGGATTGATTTTTTCTGGGTATATTCAATATGTGTTACTTAAAAAAAAAAAAAAAACTGAATAGACATGGAAGAGACTGGGGCCTCACCACATACATTTTCCTATAGCTAACAGTGGATACATTGTAGCCAACTTTCATTGTTGAGACACTACAGTTTTTCTTTCCGCACCAAGTAGCTCATCTGGTTTTTATTAGGACTTACATATTCCCATGTGGGTTCCGTGGCCCCATTGTGGGGGAAACAAGAATAGCCCCACTGCTTACCCAAAAGCACATCATCAGAGTCGACTAATTGAGGGCTTCCTTCAGAGTTGGAGTGCATCTGCCTGAAAGGCAAGGAACCAACAATCTGCATGCAAATAAGTCAAATCTGTAAAACCCATGAGCACGCATCACTCATGTTCGGAACAAAACTAAAGTCCAGAGATGGAAGAATAACCAGAACTTCCCACCGAAATTTACAGCCGGTGAATGTGAAGAAGAAAAAGAAGATTAGGACTTACTTCTGCGATATATTTTTCATCTTCTTATGCCCTTTCAAGCTGTAATATTAGCTCATTCGGTCCTAATTATTCTTCAGCTTTATTTGTTCCACAATGGTATTATTTGAATCATTTTAGGCTGTTACCTCTATTATCTGTTACCTCTGTTTTTTAGGCAATAAATCCAAAGATGATTGCCTGGGACTGAAAGTTTTAAGGCTATGAAGAAAAATAGTAACACTGTTTGTGTGTTGTAAGAGGCGACTAAGAAGACTGGCTACCTCATACATTAACTCTCCCACACCAGGAAGCACAAAACACGGTACGTCTAGTTTGTGAGTGATTAACTTTCAACCTCACTGGACCGCATGAGCAATAAACACCAGGCTACACAGAATGCCATCATTCGGATGAGAATCACCCAGGTACAAGTCCCAGAAGCCCAGTTAATCTGCTAGGTTATATTAGAACCCCCTGACTACAGCCATGGCCTCGTAAATGTCCTTTTTCCCAGTATGCTATAGAGGCTTGTTTACCAGCAGCCTTCTTCTGAACAATTTTTTAGAATGATCTGGAAGTTAGCATAGTTTCTGAAAATAGCATGTAGGTTGGGGTTTCCTTGTTCAAAATGGCTTGTTTTTTTTATAGAAATTAAGACACTAGAGTTCCTATTTTCTGAAACCCAGGTAATTCTCTGCTGCTTTCATTTTTATTAACTAATTATTTATGTTATTTTGTATGCAATTAAGTATACTTTTGGTCCATAAATGGAATTGTTATGATTTTTGTGTGTTGCCTTATTAAAATGTTTTGTATTGTTTTTAAAGACATTTTTTGTTTCTGGTAAACCCTAAATAAAAAAAAAAAAAGTGTATTTGTCATGTTTTTTTTTCTAGGTCACCATGGTGAAGGAGGTTAAAGAATTTGTTTGCGAAATTTAAACAAATAATGAAGGCGATATGAAATGCTAGGCATAAGTTAGTTTGAGGGCATATCTCCATTAGATGTTAAAAGGCTACCTGTGAGTTCCGGGAAACAAGAATATAGGAAAACAAGAATATAGACACTGCCTTCCCAACAAGCATGTCGTAGGAGTTGACTAATTGGGGGCTTCCTTTAATGTTGGAGTGCATCTGCTCGAGTGACAAGCAACAGCCAGCTGCACACAAATAAGCCAGTAAAATGGATGTACACGCAAAACTCAGGCCCTGGCACATAGCCAAAGTCCAGATGGATGAACAATTAGAACTTTCCCTGGAGCGTCCTACCGATGAACAAAGAAGAAGGATATAAAAAAAAAAGACGAAAAAAGTTTCTTAATCATAGTTTATTGCCTTAAAGGAAAAGCTTGTGTTATCTTCTTCTTGTAGCGACTGGTTGGAACATAAATGTATTTTTCTTTCAGTGGTTTGCCTTACGCTTCCCAGCAGCAGCAATTTATCTGGACACTCTTAGAGAATGCTACGAAGCGCGACTGGTTGGAACATTCATGTATTTTTGTTTTCAGTGGTTTTGCCTTACGCTTCCCAGCAGCAGACAATTTTATCTGCATAAATGAATCTAATAACAATCCTTTATAACTGAAGTACAAATTCAACAACAATCAAACGCAACTGCCTGTTTTGTGTTTGGAAAAAAAACTAAAACTATTGATGTCAGCGAATTCTTTTTAAATGAATGAATGAATAAATGAAGAACTGACATCCCTGCACTTGGGACATACCCACACGTGCTCTTTCTCCATCCACGGTAGACAACTAAGAGTTTCCATGGTAATAGACAGTTGCAGCCTGATTGTATTCTGTTTCCCTCAGGATTGAATATCGTCCAGAACCTCTGCTCCCTCCCTGCTAAATTAGTCTTTTGAAAAATGGATACTCTCCATTCTGTCACAACTTTAACTTGATCCCACAGAGTCTTTGGCGCGTCTATATTATAAAGTAGCTCACTATAAAGAGGAACAGCAGCAGCCCATCTGCCTGCTTGTTAATCTACACTCATGACTGTCACCAAGAGGAGCGGCAGCAGCCCATCTATCTGCCTGCTTGTTAATCTACACTCATGACTGTCACCAAGAGGAGCGGCAGCAGCCCATCTATCTGCCTGCTTGTTAATCTACACTCATGACTGTCACCAAGAGGAGCGACAGCAGCTCATCTATCTGCCTGCTTGTTAATCTACACTCATGACTGTCACCAAGAGGAGCCACAGCAGCTCATCTATCTGCCTGCTTGTTAATCTACACTCATGACTGTCACCAAGAGGAGCGGCAGCAGCCCATCTATCTGCCTGCTTGTTAATCTACACTCATGACTGTCACCAAGAGGAGCCACAGCAGCTCATCTATCTGCCTGCTTGTTAATCTACACTCATGACTGTCACCATAAAGAGGAGGGACAGCAGCTCATCTATCTGATTGCTTGTTAATCTACACTCATGACTGTCACCATCAGGAGGAGGGACAGCAGCTCATCTATCTGATTGCTTGTTAATCTACACTCATGACTGTCACCATCAGGAGGAGGGACAGCAGCTCATCTATCTGATTGCTTGTTAATCTACACTCATGATTGTCACCATCAAGAGTAGCGCCAGCAGCTCATCTATCTGCCTGCTTGTTAATCTGCATTCCTGAATGTCCTGGACAGAATATATATTTTTTTCTCCTGGTCTGAGTCTTATCAAGCCACTCTACAAATAGGATGCCAGTTTCTTTTTGTGAGGCATGCTCTGTGCTCCTTGAGTCCACTTTTTCCTTTTAGATAAACTGTTATAATATGTGTCTATACTAATCAGATTGTAAAATGTCTGCATTTGAAAGACTCTAAGGATTTGTTTTAAAAATGCATATTTCAGATTGAAGGCAGACCTCCTGTCAAGCACATCTTTCCATTTTGCCTTCTTCCGCCTTGTCGTTTTTCTGTGTAAGTACAAGCAGATGTGTGTGTGCATGCTGATGGGTGTGTGCACGCATGAGTGAGTGTGTATGCCTATGTGCATGCATGCGCACATGCTATTAAACCTTCTGATATTTTATGAGGGCAATGTATAGCTTGGGGAATTTGACAAAAAAAAAAAAAAAAAAAAAAAAGGTTACGTCAGAGATAAAGTAATATTCTAATATTCACTCTTGCAAATGAAAGTAAACACTTCATATTTTCTTCAATAACTCGCACATTTTATGTCCGATTGCAAGCGCATTTTCTGATAATTTGCATTTATTAGTCTTTCTAAAGGGAATAAGTTTTTTAAGAAATTTGCTTTGTGGTTAGGTCAACGTTAGTCTCCACAGACCCCGCCCATACACATTCTAGGTCACTTTTGATTGGTAGTCCTGAGCCCCGTGACCTTCGCACACAGTTAGAGGGTTGTTCTGCAATGCCATTGATGTCGCATGTTGTATATTTCAGTACGCCAGCGCTTTTAATGCTATAAAAACATGGAGAAACTGGGTCTAACTCAAGCTTCCCTAGAGAGTGCTGCAACCTATGTCACAGGCATTCTCTTTCTTGGAATGAAAACATAAATGCAGGACATCGCAGAAACCAAACAACTCAGCGGGTCATACCCTTAAACCTTCAGGAAAGTTGACCAGCCCAACAAACTTGTGAATAAAAAGTGACCTACTCTATTTGGGGAGACTAACCTCAAACTAATCTGCTTTGTATATGAGGCAGTACTCACAGTGGGGGAGGGGAGGGGGGGGGGTAGAAATGTAAAGTAACTCTGCTAAATAATGAGTGTGCCCTCATCTGGCTGCTTCACAGTGGTGCCCCACTGAGTGGATTCAGTTTCAGTCTGCACCTTATGGCGGATTATTCCAGGCATTCCAGGAGTTCACATTCAAATTAAAGATTGTGAGGTGGGTCTGACAGCTTTTGGGCATCACTGTCAAGCGTGTCCCATATGTGCACAATAGGATTGGGTCAAGGTCAGGTGAAATTGCTCTCCATGGATAAAGAAAATTAATGTTGTTCTGCAAGAGAAATGCAATTATTTCTCATGCTTCATGTGATTATTTACACAGCCTGTGGCTTCTTAGTAAAAGCTTATGTTCCTTGTTTGGTGCAGGCGAGTCTAGCATATGATACCACATCCAGCTTAAGAATGGAGGAAGAGGTGATAGAGAAGCTTCGCTTTTATTCAAGAACCGAATATTGAAGAAGTTTGACTATTAAAGACGATAAAACACAGAAACTTGAAATATTTTGGTCACTTGAAACGTCATGAAAGCTTAGGAAGAACAATAAAGGAGGGGTGTATGCCTGGGAAGAGAGGAAGAGGAAGGCCAAAGAGAAGATGGGACCAGGATGTGGTTGATGATCTCCAAATGGGTGTATCAGATGCAGGACATCTTGCTTGTGATCGAGAAATTTTCCAGAGGGTTGTTATTGGAGCAAGGTTCTGCAAAGGACATGCTACTGACTGATTGCCTATACTTACCTTATATACAATTTTACATTATGCTTATATTATTACATTACTAATTTGCAGAAAATTTATTCAGCGTTGCAAACATGGGGTTTTACAGTACACAGTTGTAAGACCAGCTATGACAGTTGTTGCTCTGTAAGTTTATGTTAAACCTTCTAAAATAAGTTATCTTATGTTCTGTAAATCTTCATAATTCAGGCATCAGTGAGATTTTACCTGTCTTATAATTTGGCCAAAATATGTTGTCTCTTTTATATTTTTTGACATCAGTTCTATTTCTTTCTTAAAATAAAGGACCTTATTAAATATCATTAGCACTAAAGAGCATATGGTGCAAGATACATATTTTTATAGTTACTTGACAGTAGAAGTAGAGATAAAGGTGAGAGGACTGACTTCACCGCACCTGGTTTTATCCCATATGGCTCACAGTTTATATTAGGTGGGTAAAGGTAGAGATAAAGGTGAAAGGACTGACTTCACTGCACCTGGTTTTATCCCATATGGCTCACAGTTTACATTAGGTGGGTAAGGGTAAAGATAAAGGTGAGAGGATTGACTTCACTGCACCTGGTTTTATCCCATATGGCTCACAGTTTACATTAAGTAAGTAAAGGTGAGAGATAAAGGTGAAAGGATTGACTTCACTGCACCTGGTTTTATCCCATATGGCTCACAGTTTACATTAAGTAAGTAAAGGTAGAGATAAAGGTGAAAGGACTGACTTCACTGCACCTGGTTTTATCCCATATGGCTCACAGTTTACATTAGGTGGTTAAAGGTGAGAGATAAAGGTGAGAGAACTGACTTCACCGCACCTGGTTATGTCCCGTATGGCTCACAGTTGACATTAGGTAAGTAAAGGTAGAGATAAAGGTGACAGGATTGACTTCACTGCACCTGGTTTTATCCCATATGGCTCACAGTTTACATTAGGTAAGTAAAGGTAGAGATAAAGGTGAGAGAACTGACTTAACCGCACCTGGTTTTATCCCATATGGCTCACAGTTTACATTAAGTAAGTAAAGGTAAAGATAAAGGTGAAAGGATTGACTTCACTGCACCTGGTTTTATCCCATATGGCTCACAGTTTACATTAGGTAAGTAAAGGTAGAGATAAAGGTGAAAGGATTGACTTCACTGAACCTGGTTTTATCCCATATGGCTCACAGTTGACATTAGGTAAGTAAAGGTAGAGATAAAGGTGAAAGGATTGACTTCACCTCACCTGGTTTTATCCCATATGGCTCACAGTTTACATTGAGTAAGTAAAAATAGAGATAAAGGTGAAAGGATTGACATCACTGCACCTGGTTTTTTTTTAAAAAGCAATGAATAAATATGCTGTTAGCTATTAGGTATCTCAAAGGAGGCAGCTAAAAGGTTTTACCATGGAACTGGCTGTTTCATCTGGCAGTGCTTTTTTTTCTCTAGGGAAATCATCTCCTACAAACACAAAAGTCCTGTGACGTAAAAGCAGCCAGAATAATTGTGAACATATTGCCCACCTAATGTAAACTGTGAGCCATATGACATTAGGTAAGTAAAGGTAGAGATAAAGGTGAAAGGATTGACTTCACTGCACCTGGTTTATCCCATATGGCTCACAGTTTACATTAAGTAAGTAAAGGTAGAGATAAAGGTGAAAGGATTGACTTCACTGCACCTGGTTTTATCCCATATGGCACACAGCTGACATTAGGTAAGTAAAGGTAGAGATAAAGGTGAAAGGATTGACTTCACTGCACCTGGTTTTATCCCATATGGCTCACAGTTTACATTTAGTAAGTAAAGGTAGAGATAAAGGTGAAAGGATTGACTTCACTGCACCTGGTTTTATCCCATATGGCACACAGCTGACATTAGGTAAGTAAAGGTAGAGATAAAGGTGAAAGGATTGACTTCACTGCACCTGGTTTTATCCCATATGGCTCACAGTTGACATTAGGTAAGTAAAGGTAGAGATAAAGGTGAAAGGATTGACTTCACTGCACCTGGTTTATCCCATATGGCTCACAGTTTACATTAAGTAAGTAAAGGTAGAGATAAAGGTGAAAGGATTGACTTCACTGCACCTGGTTTTATCCCATATGGCTCACAGTTTACATTAAGTAAGTAAAGGTAGAGATAAAGGTGAAAGGACTGACTTCACTGCACCTGGTTTTATCCCATATGGCTCTCAGTTGACATTAGGTGGGCAATATGTTCACAATTATTCTGGCTGCTTTTACGTCACAGGACTTTTGTGTTTGTAGGAGATGATTTCCCTAGAGAAAAAAAAGCACTGCCAGATGAAACAGCCAGTTCCATGGTAAAACCTTTTAGCTGCCTCCTTTGAGATGCCTAATAGCTAACAGCATATTTATTCATTGCTTTTAAAAAAAATCCTCTTCTTCTTTTTTCTACTTCTGTAGTGTCTCACAGCATCAGGGCAGGAAGAGATTTCTAGAACGGGCCCTTCTGTTTGCTTTGTGCATAGTACTTTTCAGTGTCTCTGATATTTCTGCGGTCCATCTGATCTGGGTCTGTTACCATTGTATGTGTATAACATTTCTGCCTAATAGGCAAGGAACCAACATTATGTTTACAAATGAGCCAGATCTGTAAAACGGATGCACCTGCAAAACTTAGGGCCTGGAACAAAGCCAAAGTCCAGAAATGGACAAACAACCAGGACTTTCTACCAGAGTTTACAGCCAGTGAATGCAGTCAAACAAACAAACTTTTGTACAAATAAAGGGAAGTCATTTGATGAATCAGAAACCTACTGTTGTACTTGCTCCATTGTGGAGTCTTTAATTGCCGAGTTTGTAATTATTGTTTCTCAACAATGTCTGAGTACTGCTGTTCAGATTCAGCAACTTTGTCAGCATGCTTATTCCAAATGTACTGGTGTTTCCTTTTCTTCAGAGTTAACAAAGAAGACTGAGCGAGGGATCATGCTGCATGGGTAAAACATTTTTTTTTTCAATACTACCCAGGCTTTGTGCTATGTAGAGAAGTAAGCTCATCTCTGGTCCGAACCATTCCACCCCAGAAGGTCATAGTAAATGCCCCAGTAAGTCAGCAGTGAAATAAACAAAATAATGTGTATGCTGCATCCACAGGGCCCAAATACACATTACTTGTGGGAGACAAATGTATTTTAGCATGCCCCAACTAATAATAAAATGTTCAAGCATAATTATTTGTTAACTAGTGCTTTTGATTAAATCCAGTCTCACATGGTGGATTGTTTGGGAATAAAAGAACAGGTATGCTATATAGGCTCAGATTCACATGCCTCCTTTCAGGATAGTGGAACACTTTCATTTGGAAATAGGAAAGGACACCAGCATCTACAGTATCTGAACATGCAATGAGTTTTTTAAAGTGAGATTTCCAGATTGGATTCCTATATCATGTTTTTGTCTCTCCAGGATTTGTGAAATGTGTGGCAAGTATAATGAGGGAGATTTTGACTTCAGCACAGCTTGGTCTTATATTGTGATTATCAACAATGTGTCTCAGATTGTAAGTTATTACTTCATTTCAGTTACGTTTTTTTTAACGTGACTTAACTCTTTTGGGGGAAAAAAGGGGGGGGGGTGTACCAAACAGTTGTTAACTTTCACTCCTTATATCACAATACAGTTTTAAAGAAATTTAACTTGGACACTTGGGACAGTTGTTAACTTTAACTCCTTATATCACAATACAGTTTTAAAGAAATTTAACTTGGACACTTGGGACTGAAGTAGTTACAATAATAGTTCAGATTAAAAAAATAGTTAACATAATAGTTCAGATACAAAAAGGTAACATAACACCTCTCTGTCATATGGAGCAGCACGAACATCATACTATCTTTATAGACTTCTGGTTAACATGGCAAACAGGCAGGATTACTGTTTTTAATTGTGGCAAATTATTTTCCTCTGATAGAAGTTTGTTGTTTCATTTTCCTCCATATGTAGACACAAAAGATGTAGTTCCAAGGCTTATTCACTAAGCTGAGTGCATGGTGTGACATTTTGAGCTGTGGATTTCATTTGCAATGCGTCGTGGCTTTATCATAGCATGAAGGGGTGGCATAACACAAACTGTAAATGCTTTTGGAGAATGCAGTCTGTGGAGAGGCTTTATCGTGCATGCCAGTTGACAAGACAAGATTATTTGATGATGATGATGATGATGTGACCTAATTATTTATAACAGCAGACTTATTTAAATTTTGAAATTAATTTTGTAAGGTAATCTGCTCTGGTTTATTGTCCATTATCTGTTTCTTTAGAAACTCATTGTTTGTTCCTTTGTTTCTGATAAACAGTTCATAACTTTGATTGTCCACAGCTTGCCATGTACTGCCTGGTGTTATTTTACAAAGCTTTTAAGACAGAACTGCAACCTTTGAACCCAGTGCCCAAATTCTTGTGTGTCAAAGCTGTAGTTTTCTTATCATTCTGGTAATAAACAGTTTCATTGTTTAAATTTTATTGTTTAATGTTTGATAATATGTTGGCAGTACCCACACATATGCATAGACACACACTCCTACAGAGAGAAAAACACTCACACACCCAAAAACGCATACATCAACGCAGAAACCCACACACGTGCACACAGTTCCTAAGTCAAAGGGATGAAATCCGTATGTGGGTTCCAGGCCACATTGTGGAGGAAATAAGAATAGACCCACTGCCTCCCTAACAAACATGTCGTAAGAGTTGACTAACCGGGGGCTTCGGTTGAAGACGGAGTACATCTGCTTGAGAGGCAAGGAACCAACAATTTGCATACAGATAAGTTAGATCTGTGATGTGCACGCAAAAATCAGGTTCTGGAACAAGACTAAAGTCCAGAGGTGAACAAACAACCAGAACTTTCCACCGGAGTTTACAGCCAGTAAATGTGAAGAAAGAAAAAGGGATGTAATCGATACTAGTGATTTTTGAGTTATCTTCCCATCAGAATTTTCCCACAGTAAGTAAACATGAGGAAAATACTTTTTTCACGCCAGTATCACACGGGGCATTTGATGCTAGGCTCATGTTTTCAATAGACCACCAGGCACCCGATGGATTGTGTGGTCAGCATCACGCAAGCCATCTTCACTTCCTAGATACTCATTGGATACCCATTTAGGTTGGAATTATCCAGAAGCCATGGTCATTTTTGAAATAAATCTGTCTTGATGCATGTGCAACCCCATGATCTTCAGGCTGGCATGTGAGCATCTAACCACTATGCCACTAGTGCTCCCTCTCCATATAGCAAAGTAAATTATTTAAAGTTACAGTAAAGTAAAAGTAGAGTAAAGTAAAATAAAATAAAGTAAAGTAAAATAAAAGTAAATTAGAGTAAAGTAAAATAAAATAAAGTAAAAGTAAAGTAAAAGTAAAGGACCAATTCCCTTGCCTTCAGATGTATTGCGTACGTAGTCCTAGACCTATATTTTATAGACCAAATGGCACTCAATGGGTAGTGTGGTAATCATCATACCAGCCAAATTTACATTCCAGGACTTAACCCGGTGCCCATTTATTGCTGGGTCGATCTGGGAACCAAAGTATTTTTTTTTTTTTTTTTAAATGCTCTGTTCGGATTTGAATTCACGACCTTCAGATCAGCAAGCAAGCAACTGGCCGCTACACCATGGTCGCTACATTTCTAAACAGTACTAGTGTGATATTCTGTTAACTCTTTGTGTCCTATTTGATTTTGTAGTAGATCACAAAGTGAACATTAACTCTTTCAGTCCCATGAATTTTGACAGGCTTGGCTCACATTAATTTCCCTTTACAGAGATGGGGGAGGGGGCGGGGGAATGGTCTAAAAAAAAAGGCAATTGAGAATGTAGAATATTTCTAATCCCTAAAAAATAGATACATTTTTTTAGAGGAATGAATGTACATTTTGATTCTGATGATATTTTTTTAGTTTCCTACTGTTATAACTAGTAGGAAAAAAAATCAGAAGGTATTTGTTTACAAAGACAAAATTTTAAAAATTGTCACTTACCATGGTTTTGCAGCCACAAGAGCAGTGAATATCAAAATTTGACAATACCACTTTAAAGTATGTTCAGTTTCCTAACTAATTCAAAAGGTATGATACATTTCTGATTTAGTTTATCACTCACAGACTCCAAGTTTTCATAGAGTGCTAAACAAAATTTCAAAGAAAAAATGGCAGAAAATTGGACCTAGAGTCTTATACGCACAAAATATTAACTTTGCAGTTATATACAAACTGTAGCTGCAATGATTTCAGTGCAGCCTAACCATAGTATGAGTATGGTACTGTCTGAAACAGTCTTTTTGATGCAAACATGGGTGACTATCACATCCTTTGCCTGAATTTTAACCTCATCAGAATGAACAGCTGACCGCTCAGCTGCCGCTGGTGTAAATTAACCTCCGAATCAGTTTCCAAAAAAATTTCAGTGTTTCATTATTATAAAACATCTGACTGAAACAGTTTCAGAATTTCAGCCACAGAAAGGTGCATTTTTCTGCCTGGGCTTGTGTTCGGAACATTGGTAACCATGGCCACTGGAACCCAAAATCGAAAAATGCATTTTCTGAAAATCACACTAGCAATGAATTGGATCAGTCTGCGCCCACATTTGTGCAAACATAGACTTTTTTACAAAGAAAAACATTAGAGAAATCTTCCCTGAATACTTTAGTGGTAGTTCTAAACATTAGAAATGAATATGGAGCCGTCTACAAATCAGTATGTACGGGACACACCATTGATGCAGACAGTGTTGTTTGAGCAAATGACTGTTTTTATCCTATCTCTCTACTGAAATCCCTAATCATATAACAGTTTTTTCCCCTCTATTTGACTACCAAGAATCCTAATTGCATGACAGTTTTTAACCTTATTTTGGTACTGAAAATCCTAATTGCATGACAGTTTTTAGCCTTATCTTGATACTGAAAATCCAATTGTTAGACAGTTATTAACCTTATCTGGGTACTGAAATTCCAAAATGCATGGCAGTTTTTGACCTTTCCTCACTACTGAAATTCTTAACTGTGCGATAAATTTAACCACCTCTCTGCAGAAATTTCTGTGTGAAAAGAAAACTTCAGCTTTGAATGAAAGTAATTGTAAATTATATTCTTATATTGATTAATCAGACATATCTCTTGTTTAATTCAACAGGCAGGCTGTTTTAATTGCTGCTCTAGCAAAACTTGGAGCCATTCCCACAAATGGATCATGGATTTTCTACAGTAACGTCAAAGAGGTGGCAACAGGTCTTCAGGTGAGTTGATCTACTCTCCACCTAATGCTATTCTTGTCCTCCACTACAAACAAATGAGCTTATACATGTTGAATTAAGATTCAACATTTCAGCACTCTTAACTCTTTGAGTCCCAGGGGGTTTAGCATCACAGGCCCAATGGGTAGTGAAGAAAGTAATAAAATTGGCGCATCACGCATTAACTGGGCTTCTAGGTAGGAACCTATGAACGTATGATGCGTTCCTTGGGACTCAAAGAGTTAACATTCCCATAAGTGTTCCTTCCCAATCTTCAGTGGCATACATACAGACAGATAAAATGTCAGTAACAATAAACTAATAAGGGCTGAACTATAACTCAAAACCTAATTTTGTCTTAACAGTCTTTTATGTTAAGAGAGTTAATCGCTTACAGGGTTTTCATGGCAGAGAGATTAAGCTGTATGCCTTGTGTTCTGAATGCCGAACTAAGAGTGTTTATAACTGCCAGATATTAATCTGGAGCTCAGGGATTCCTCTGTTCTCAAATCTATACTATTCATGTCTTAATGTTTTCACATCCACCACTGAGCTCCAAGTTCTGTTGGCAGTCAAGGAATTATGTCCTCTAACTGCATCCCTTGCCCGTCAAATGAAAATATGCCACTTGTAGTCAGCTAGCTTGTGACGTCCCATCATCCCCAGTGGCGTTATAACTGATCTCCATTCCATAGCTGCACTGTACCTCACCTCATAGTTGTGGCTGTGTATTCCCAGTGTATAATTTGTTCTATCACAAAGCCACACAAACAGTCAGCTCACACATCAAGATGCCAACTTTGTTACACAGGTGTTTCCAATGGGAATTATGAAATTATGGAATTGCAACTCTGTGCTGGCTGCTGAAGATAGAGATGGGGTGCTTATGAGAATGTCCCGAATGCTATGATTTCAGTTCCTAACTCATAACTCAGCAGCTGATGACCCAATAGTATGCAGTGTTCTAGTACTGTGATAATGATGAAAGATATTCTATAAAAATTCCCGGAGATTGTCATCGGAGCTACATAGTTTCATTCTTTGTGTAACCTACTTGGCATGGAACCACTGCTTAGCAGAGAGAGATTGGGCCATAGGAGATATAACCTGGGGCTGTAAAGTTGATTTTTTTGCCTGTAAATTAAAAAAAAAACTTAAGTACCCATAATAGGGCTGATCATGTTTTTAGTGTGAGTAAGTTGGTAGACCTATAGGATTGAACACGTTAGTAGGTTTATTTCATTCATAGTAGTGCCCTTTTGATTGTACACGCTTATTCCAGAATTTTTGACGGGAATAGCTGTAGTAGGCACTTTCTGTCTTCACTTTATCATTGCCAGATTCACCTTTGCCATTAAGGGTCGTGGGGTGAAACATTAGCAGTGAGTAACACATGCTTTTGTAATTTCATGTCAATGTATATTATCTTTAATGTCCTCAGTCCATCTTCTCCTTGGGTGTCTTCTTGCTTCACATCAGATTCTTTCAGATGTAGGTATGTGTTGGTAATTAGTTGTTTTGGCTGCATTCTAACGAACCATTTGATCTTTTGCTTTCCAGTGAGTTATGTACCACAGGTTGTTCTGATAGTATCATTTCTCACCCAGTCTCAGATTGTTAAGTTGGCAGCTTTTTTTCAGGCATCTCATTTCACAAGTGTTAATTTAACATGGGTTAGGCTTGGATAATATAATAGCCCAGAATTTTCTCATAACATTGGCTTCAATCTCTTCTGTGACATTTAAGTGGTGACCTTTCATTACTTTCTAACACTGAGGGAACAATAAGAGCAAGATCTGGACAGTATGGAGGGCATGAAAGCAATGGAATATATTTCAGTATTGTTTATTTTCCTTATTGGCAAATACGGATAATGGCAGTGATTTAGCTGCTTTAAAACAACCAGACTCAGTGTGAATGATGTATTGCTCACTAGATATATTTTTTATTTACATACAGGATTTCATCATCTGTATAGAGATGTTTTTGGCCGCTATTGCTCACTAGATGTATTGTTTTCTTTACCTACAGGATTTCATCATCTGTATAGAGATGTTTTTGGCCGCCATTGCTCACTACTTCTCCTTCTCACACAAACCGTTTATCAACCCGGCAGCACAGCAACAGGACTGCTGCACTTCCTTTGTGTCCATGTGGAATGTCAAGGACATTACAGATGATGTCATGGAGCATGCTCAGTTTATAGGTTTGTATGCCCGGCTTGCTAGCTCAGTTGGTTAAACCTGACTTCGCAGCGACTGGATGATGAACTCCTTGTGTTCCAGGTTCACGCTCGGGGGGTAGGCAGAAAAGCCATACTTCTCCCAGATTTATGGTATCTGTCATGGAGTAAAGGCCAAAGGGTTGCAATATCCATAGTACCGAGCCAAAGGGTTTACAACTCATGGTTTCTAGATATTTAATAAAAAAAAAGTTTGTATTGTAGAATATACATCTGACTTCTGAACGTAGATCTAAAATTCTAGAAAATATATTTAAAACAGGAACTCAGGTTTTTGTTCGTGAAAAATTGTAAAGAGCTTCACACAAACATGCGTTTGAACATAATACATGCACACAGGATGTCAAGGAAATGTCACATGTCAAAGAGTTGCATCCTAAATAGCAATCTTTCCTATGTGGAATCTAGGATCCCATTTGGGAAGAGGTCAGGGTGGAGAATGGACTCACTGCTTTTTAACAAGCAACTAATTAAGTGATTGAATTTGAATCTGTTAGACTGAAAGTATGGATATTGCAGACTAGCTATAAACCATAAAAAATGCCAGTCATCCTCTTAAGGACAAAAGCAAAGAAGGAAGAATGGCAATTCAGCATGACAAACCCAAAAACACTGAAATAATTCCAGAAAGAAGTTAGAATTAAGGTGTTAATTTGTAACTCAGTTATCATTAGTTTTTTTTTTTTTAAACCTTTTTACATTTGGTCAGAGCCCAGTCAAGAAGTCTGGCTTTCCCTAAAGGCTATTGCCACTGTGTATTTAGCAGTTCAGAATTTTCCTACCAGCTATTTCCCTTCTTTGGGCATTTGGTATGTAACCTTCTTGGACTGATGAAGTCAGTTTCTTATCTTTTAATTTGACTTTAATCTTTCAAATTTACTTTCTTCTTCTTGTCCAATAATCTATGCCATGTCATGATTGAGGGTCATTGTGTTTGTCCACATCTTTCTGACTCATATATTTTTGATGCAGGTTTTCTTCCATAACATGACGCTAAATCTTCTTGAACTCTCTCTTGATCTTACCTTGCACCTCTACCCCTCCGTTTTCCCTGTTGTTATGATGTGCTCCAGTTTTCTCTTTGTTGTGATATGCTCCAGTTTCCTCTTTTGTGTGTGATATGCTCCAGTTTTCTCTTTCTTGTGATATGCTCCAGTTTCCTCTTTTTTGTGTGATATGCTCCAGTTTCCTCTTTCTTGTGATATGCTCCAGTTTCCTCTTTTTTGTGTGATATGCTCCAGTTTCCTCTTTCTTGTGATATGCTCCAGTTTCCTCTTTCTTGGGATATGCTCCAGTTTTCTCTTTCTAGTGGTATGCTCCATTTGTTCCTTTCTTGTGATGTGCTCCAATTTTTCCCTTTCTTGTGATGTGCTCCAGTTTCCCCTTTCTCATGACATGCCTAAATAATGTATGGGTAATCAGCTGTTTTAGGAGGTAATTTCTTGTAAGACAGTTTCATTACATTTCTTAGAATCTGCCATTAATGATCTCATCTGCCATAGCACTGTTTACTGCCTTAAAGGTAATGACTCCTACGCAACTCTATGAAACTGTGTCTATCTACACACAACAACCCCAACATGGTTAGAGTATACACATTGGCTTTGATTGTAACTACAGAAAGGTACCAGTAGTTTACCACAAGGTCGACGTCTGTGGTTTAGTCGTTGCAAACGCTCTTCATAAAGCCGGTGTGCCAGGTTGGATTCCAGCTACAGGCCTTGCACCCTGCGTTGGTTTCGACAGTGGTAGCAAGAAGTCGACTGCCCAGAAAGGAATGGCAAACTACTGGACGTAAATTTGCCTAGAAAAAACTACAACAGCCAAAAAATACTAGGGTTGTTTCTGCAATGTCCTGTAAAGGATACACAACTAACTAACTTAAGTTTACCCCAGAGATAGCTCACATTATCATACCCCGCCACAACTTGCTGGTATACTTTCAAATCACCACCCATGAATTGGCCTTATGGTTGCATCCAAGGATAACTGGGTCCGAACCCTAAACCTCCAATACAGGCTCCTTCCTGAGTCTCCGTAATATATACCTCAACCTTGTTATGAAGATACAGGTAATCGGGCGATAAGTGACACAGCAGTTTTTAATTAAGAACATTAGTCTACCACTGCACAACATAATAAGTTTTACTGAGAAATCCAATAGCAGAACTAAAACTCGAATGTGGTCAAACTAATAAATAATCACTTACTAAACTCATCATCAAGTGCCTTGCCGACTGGCATGGGCGATCATGCCTCTCCACAATCTGTGATCTGCAACAGGGTGTATCAGTTCGTGTGTTGACACCCTTCCATGCCATGACAAAAGACTGTCAAGAATCTTTTCACACTATCTTTCTCTGTCTATTTTCCAATGGTCACAACATGTCCCATTTTCCCTCTTTTCATAATATGACCAACAATTGACGACTGTCTCTTTCTGATGTTTGTGATAAGGTGTCTTCAAGCATTCGACTCTTTCATAACATCTCAGTTACTCTTCTTAGTGGTTTAATTAATTCTAAGGATCCTTCTGTAAAACCACATCTCCGCTGCCTCATGATCTTGTTCGGCTTGTTTATTTATTGGCTAGGCTTCACAGCCATATGTTAAAAATGGCTCTATATAGCATGCAAGAATTCTTTTCCTAACCTCCAGTGACATGGTTTTATTGTATAAAATGTTCTTCATTTTGTAAAAGGCAGTTTTGGCCTGTCCTATTCTATTCTTTATCTATGTGATACATCTTCCATCGGATGTTATCCATGTGCCTAGATACTTAAATTTCTGTACTTGTCCTGAAATAATGCCTTTGACTTTTATTATACATTTCGGCACTATTCTTTTCTTGGAAATCACCATTACTTCTGTCTGTCCATTATTCAAACTGAGGCCCATTTTATCACTTTCTACTACCACTGCATCTATCAGTTCCTGTAGTTCTTTCTGACTTGTCTGACTAAACTATCTAACACGATTCTCACAAGCCTGTCCATCACTGTGTTTCTATATCAGCTGTCAAAAATTCTGTCGGTCAGAATGAGTATGACCTGTCTCCACAACAACTCCCCTTTTCATACTGTTCATTTCTGCTTTTGTCCCTCCAGCCGATCAGCCCTCGGTCACCAGGTCTATCTTGATCTGGTGAGAACAGACTCTAGTCGTCACGTTTTCCAGGGGCCATCGTCACTGTGCTGTGAATGCGCAGTCACTTACTCAGTCATTCAGTCCATCGGTCACTATCATCACCCACAATATGTCCATAGCCACACATGCCTCTGACATAATTTTTCTTGAAAACCAGATATCTGCTGTTCAGAAAGCAGTGGCAAACTACTGAACATAAAATTGGCTGGTAAAATCACAAACAGGCACAACTTTCTGTGGTTGGTTCTTCACTATTCTGTAAAGGACAGATTTTAATATGCTGCTTCCCTTATAGTTTTTTGCTAATCATTTGGCTATCATTGATTCGCTTCTGTCTATCAGGATTGGCACTGTATAGCTGCTATTCTTCTTCTTAAAGTAAATGCTGTGTGGCATTGGTAGTCATGTTTATCCCCAACCTTCTGTCTCATGTACTTTCAGTCAGCTCTGACATAGATGATCCTCCATGCCGTGATGTCAAACTGTCCAGCATCTTTTCTCTCGGTCTTCCTCTGCCTCTCTTCCCTTGAAATTTTCCTACCATCACGATGCACTCCAGTTTTCTCCTTCTCCTCACATGACCAAAGAATGTAGACTGTATCTTTCTGATGTGGGCAGTCAGTTCACTTTGTGAGCCAGTTTAAGACATCTTCATTACTCTTATCTGTCCAGGGTGTTCTCATCATTCATCTATAAAGCCACCTCTCTGCAGCTTTCAAATAATTTTTCATTTATCTACCCACTGTCCATGGTTCTCTTCTCTATACTAAGGTAGGATTTATATAGCTTTTAAGAATTCTCTTTCTCATCTTAATTGACAAAGAAAGATTGCATAAAAGATTCTTCATTTTGTAAAATGCTGCCTTTGCTTGAGATGTTCTACATTTAACTTAATAACTATCAATAAATCTAAATCTCACATCATTTGACAAAGAACTTCCTCTTACTCCTGACCGATTCTCTATTTCTTTCAGGACAAGGCATGAAAAAGACATTAAGCAAAGGGAAGGATTTGGTTATTAAAGGAAGCACTGAAAGGACACCTCTGCTTGCTGCCAAAGACAACAGACCTGCAGATGATTCTGTGGTGCTACCTTTGGGTGTTCTGAAGTCTCAAACTCAGGAACCATTAACTCCAGCTGTCATTGTCCACGATCAGGCCAGGTTTTCAGATGATCAGCGAACTGTCGCACAAGAATTTAATATCCCTTTCAGGAAACCTACGACGGCAAGTATGATAAACTATATAGACTTTAGTTCTGATTCTGCCTCACAGAATGAAAATCTGCAGAGTAATGCTAGTGCAGCCACGTTAATGGGATATGACATCACAGGAAGTGACATTGGTGAGAAAAGAAGTAGCTTGAGTGATGTGAAACAATCTCAGTTGGTAGTTATAGCTGAGATTAATACAGACAACAGAAATGTTCTACATAATCCTGACATTACAGATGAAAACTCAGAAAATAATTTTGATAACCATTACACTGTAGATGAAGTATTTCCGGAAAGTATAGATTCTTCTTCATATTCAAATGATGTCAGATTGGCAAACGATTTGCTGGAGAATAATTCACCCTCTCCCAAAGATAATTCACATGCATCAGAGCATTCAAATCCAGATCATCTAACATACAAAGAAAGCACAGGAGATGACCAAAGGAGTAACAAAGCATTAGCCGGGGGTGCTACTCTTGTAGTGGAACATCCATCCTTTGTTGAAGACTCCAAAAAGGATGTTATTGAAACATCTAGAAATAATTCAGAGCATAATTTCCCTATTATCTGATTATTATATGTTAGTACATACAGAAGCTGTATGTAGTGATACATCTGTGTAGTCTTAAGATGCCTGCTCCTGTTAATATGAGGGCTGATCATTAAGGTCTGTGAGTGTATTTTTTGTTGAAATAAATTGGTGTACTTCTTTTCTGTACTCCTGGAATGCCTCATAGTGTCAGAGCTGGAAGAGATCTCTAGAACGCATGAACAAAAAGTCACACTGGGGAGCATGAAGGATGTGAAAGCAACAGAATGTGTTTTGTCAAAGAATTCATTTGTGATGGCAGACCTGCAAGCAAAGCCGTTGTCATGATGCAGATTTTAAATGCCTGTGTGTCACTTCCCAAGGTTACATCTGCGTATGTAGTCACAAATGACAACTCCCCAACTTACTCAAAAACAAATTAGGTCCCAGAAAATGATGAGCCCTTATATTTCCAGAAACTATGTTTAGATGTTTTGTATATGAAGGATCACTGCATGTTAGCCTATACACAGATTGTCATTATTATAAAGCTATTTATGTACATAAACTGTTTATCGGTGCTTGTATATACAAAGGTTGTATGCTGTTATTATTATTGGCCCTGTATTTAGAATTTTTTTCAGAAAATTATATTCAAAATGTATAGAAGATTTTTTTGTATGTCTTACCTGGCATCACTTATAATTGTAATTTAAATGAGGGGAAAATGCACTGCCAGTTAAGCAGTAAATTTTTCACAGTAAACAAATACAATTTTTAATAAGCACCCATGTGGCAAATCAGTGTTTTGAAAATCATTAAGGGTAGGATGTATTTTTAGTGTGCACACATGTAACCAATCAGTATTTTGTAAATTACTCTTGGTTGTATTTTTATGTACCAGAGTGGTAATTCAGTATTTTTAAAATCACTTTGAATTAACTCTTTCAGCCCCAAACAATGCCTGATGTGCGACGGGCTCAGTCCCTTGACTTCCTCCCATAGCATAATGTGCTCCCTTAATTTTATACTCTAGTCAGAACATACTAAAAATCTGGCTACCCCAATGGTGATTTTAACTTTTTCTATTGCCGCTTTGACAGTATTACATTCAAATATTTTTCAGCGTGATTATTTCTCTACTTTGGCATCTTGTCTGAAACCTCCTGGTACCGAAAGAGTTGATAAGGTTTATTTTGGCAGTGTCTGTATTTTTTTAAAAATATATATGTTTTGCAAAATACTTTATAAAGTAATATTTGATACTACAGATATACCTTTTTGTGGCATTTAAATTTCTGCCCTTCCAAACTTTTATGAAAGATAATTAAAATAATAAATTTTGTTTAGTCTGCATTATGGAGGCATGCTGTATTGGATATTTGCATCTGCTGCCTTATCTGTGAATATTATGTACTGAGGACTCAATATAACTTGGAGCACAACTAAAAGTGATGAAGCTATCTTTGGACCCAATAAAGATGGAAACAGTGGGTAATAGAAAGTAAAAAGCAACAACAAAATTCATAATCTTCTTCAGTCATCACTGGTCACTGGCATTATGAGAGCTAATAGACTAAAATGGCTGGGGCATATTGAGATGAAAGAGGGGTAAAAATGTCGCATACAAGTGAGTTGAATGGTTATAGACTATGAGGCAGATCAAGAAGATGATGGAGAGATAATATCAAGAAAGATCTACAAACACTTGGAGTCACCAGCTGGAAAAAGAAGGCCAACCGTGGAGATAAATGGAAGTGGATGAAATCTGCAGCAATGAACCTCAAGTGCTCAGAATGCTAAAGAGGAAAAGAAAAAAGTTTAAAATTTATCTAAATATATATCCAGTGTTGTCTAAGTATATGAAATTCATACTGCAGACTGATTATAGAAATTAGATCCAGTAAAAATTGTTTTAAAGAGACTAAGACATGAATACAACACATATAAAGAAACTTACAGTAATATTTTGGCCAAATTAGGAGAAGTGTAAAGCAGAAACACAACGGTAAAGATTTATAGAATTAGAGATAGAGGAAGAAGGTAAGGGAAGCTTCTTGATGGCCTTTTGTCATGACTTGAAATGATGTCTCTCGCATCTCATCTTGATCATTTGGCACCGTGCAGTGTTGAGGTGAAGTATAATTTATGGGAAAGTGCCCATTTGTGTGCTTCATGAATGGGGATTTCCAGGAACTCTGTGCATCATTTGGATGTCTGCCTCTGCTTCGCATGGTCTGTATATCATTGCTTGCTGTTGCATGCTGTTTGTTATAGAGAGGTGTGAACACATGAACTTAACTCTCTCAGTCCCACAAGGTCAACTGATGTCCAAGTGAACCAAGAATGTCAGTGCTAAACTCATGGATATACTACTTTCAGAGGGGCCAAATATAAAACCCTTGCAGGGAATAACAAATGTTATCAGAGTTCTTGAGAGTCGCTCACTAAATATAATATGTAAAAATATACAGAACATGTCGACTGGTACATGTTAATAATACCCAATCACGCATGGTGAGTTGTTTGGAACATAGTCTTAAAAGATCTTGAAGATCTGGAGAAACAGAATCACTCATGCTGTCAGTTTGATGTTGATTATATATTTTTGTTAGTTTTAGTTGCTTTCGGCCATTCTTTGCCCATTATGTGCAGTGTTTAAAAATTAAAAAAAAATAGTTATATATGATTTTAACATGTTACAACTGTTGTGATATTAGCTCGAATCCTGCAACTATGTGTACATATATTTATATTTTCATGTTGGTGTTAATAATTTTCACTTACAAACATACATTCATTCATTCATTCATACATACAGTCAGACAGACAGTCGGAGAGACGGACGGACAGACAGACAGACAGACAATCTTCTTCTTACAGTCTATGGAGTGTGGCTTTGTTAGTCATGTCTGTTCACAACCTTCTATCTCATATATTTACAATTAATTCTGGATGATCTTTCATGTAATGATGTCAGACTGTCCAGCATCCTCTCTCTCGGTCTCCCTCTATCGTTTTTCTCCTCTAGCTTTCCCACCATTACAAATTACTCCAGTTTTCTCCTTCTCATAAATGACTAAAGAATGTAGATTGTCTCCTTCTGATGTAGGCAATCAGTTCTTTTCATGAGTCAGTGTCTGCACACATATACATACATACACACACATAATGTTTAAAAGAGAATTGTTTGTTTCTGATGAAGCATGTTTCAGTATAGAGAATGTTTGTAAGGAAATTTTTTGCAAAGAAACATGCTTCTATGTTCAAAATGGTTGGATGGAAATTGTTTAAAATGAAACATGTTACTACAGTGTATTTTTTTTTTTGGCAACCAGAGCTTTCATTTTTTGTACTCGTTCAATTTACATACATGGGGAGGGGGAGGTCTCTGTGGTGAAGTAGTCAAGCCGATTGCCTCCTGCGGTAAAGGTAGTGGGCTCTTTTCACAGCCTCAAAACCTGGAAACAGTTGGGAAATGCAAGATCCCTCTCAAGGTCTGGATTTTTATGAAAACTGACGAAAATCCTGGACCTTTACCCACTAGTCCTGGAACTTTGCACACCATATCCAGGACACAGGTCAATCAGTTTATGAGTGCAGCTTTTAAGGAGACCCTAGAGATCATAACCAGAGCTACGGTGTTCATGCTTTATGCGATACACATGACCAGCCAGTCTGTGGAGATCAAATCCGGTGCAATGATGTCTATCCTCCTAAGTCAATCCTCTCAACTTTAACCTTTAACATACATAGTTGAAGCTTACCCGAGATGTTTACTGCTATAGAGTTGTGAAGTGTTTGCTCTTGGCATATACTTGCATACATTCACAGGTATTGACTGACACTCATGGAAGTATAGGGAAGTAGTAGAGCATGCCATTCAACTAAGTTTACTCAGGGGCCAAAATTTTGAGAAATGGGGATCGTCACGAGCCAAAGACCCCAGCTAGGAAGATAACTGATACAATACAACAGGCAGGTGTTTGGCGGGTTGTATCCTAGGCTTCTGTGGGAGGAAGATAACTGATACAATATAACAGGCAGGTGTTTGGCGGGCTGTATCCTAGGCTTCTGTGGGAGGAAGATAACTGATACAATACAACAGGCAGGTGTTTGGCGGGCTGTATCCTAGGCTTCTGTGGGAGGAAGAAAACTGATACAATACAACAGGCAGGTGTTTGGCGGGCTGTATCCTAGGCTTCTGTGGGAGGAAGATAACTGATACAATATAACAGGCAGGTGTTTGGCGGGCTGTATCCTAGGCTTCTGTGGGAGGAAGATAACTGATACAATATAACAGGCAGGTGTTTGGCGGGCTGTATCCTAGGCTTCTGTGGGAGGAAGATAACTGATACAATACAAATGGCAGGTGTTTTGTGGGCTGTAACCTAGGCTTCTGTGGGAGAAAAATAACTGATACAATACAAACGGCAGGTGTTTTGTGGGCTGTATGCTAGACTTCTGTGGGAGGAAGATAACATACAATACAACAGGCAGGTGTTTGGCGGGCTGTATGCTAGGCTTCTGTGGGAGGAAGATAACTGATATTGTACAACTGGCAGGTGTTTTGTGGTTTGTATCCTAGGCTTCTGTGGGAAGAAGATAACTGATACTGTACAACTGGCAGGTGTTTTGCGGTTTGAGGCCATATTTCAGACCCTGAAAAAGCAAGGGTAGGGCTTCAAGATAACTTAAAATTGTATCCCACAAGGGGATGACAAAATAACAATCTTGGATAGAGTAAGAGAACATGCTAAATAAAATAATGATATACATTTGTGCTGATTCATTTGTGGCACCAATTAGCTGCTGTAGATGTTTGCATTCACTGTTGTCTACACTCCAAGTGGGTTCAGAGGCCCTATGTCTGCAGCCCCTCTTAAAAGCATGTCATACAAGGTGACTAGATGGGTGGTGTTCATTCATAGTTGGAGTACATTTGCCTTGGAGACACTAAACCAGCAGTCTGCTTACAAATAAGCCAGATCTGTAAAAGTGATGTGCACTCAAAACTCAAGTTCTAGAATGAGAGCAACGCC